GTTTCCCAAACTTTTTTGGCCACGGAACACTTTTCAGCTAACAAAAAGCTTACGGGACATTAGTCACGTGAAATATCGGTGTAGAGGATATTAAACTTAAAATAAGACCCAAAACTCGAGCGCTTTCAAATAGTTGACTATTCTTCTTATTTTACGTTTATTACACTTTATATGTGATGATGTTGTTGTTGTTGTTCTTGGCAGTTATTTTGATTTAAAAATAATTATCTCCTAAGAAATAATTACTAATCAAGGGTGCTCGAAGATTAAACAATCCTCCTTCACCCTAAGTGAAAAGTGTGATATTTTGTTTATTGAATTTTATACCACACTAGATGAGGGCTATTTGTACTAGCAATCCTTATTTTAGCAATGATAGACTAGAGAAAAGGCAGCTAGTCAACACCACTCACCAACAACCTTTTGGCTGCTCGTCTACCAATGAAAACTGGGAATGACCATCATATTATAATGCTCCTGGCTGAAAGTAAAAAAACTGATGAAACACAACCCCAAATACATAATTTCAGTTGGCAGCTTGATACAACTCATAATAGTGTTGAGGAGAATGTCCTGAAGTAGAATTTGTTTTGGCATAGCTTGGATACTTGAACCTATCACTCATGAACAACAGAGTACAAAGAGTAGTTCAAGTCCAACAGAAACATTAGCTCTAATAAGGCAAGGACGTATCATCCATCCATAAAGAAGTGGCAATTTATCATCTATGTCAGTGGTGCATAAACCTTTTTTATGGCACTCTCTCTTTCTCAACATTCATTTTGTTGCCAAACCCCCCCCCCCCTACAACCTGTATTAAACCAGCCTTGTTAAACCAGCAATGCAGCTCATCATCGAGGGAAGGAGGAAGGGTAATGAGAGAATCCGAGGGATCCCAAGCAAGATTCCATTGGTCATGCAGCATCCACTGAAGAGATCACATATATGCCCGATCCAAGGAGGATATGTGCTTAAATCGAAGCCCACATCCCCAAGACTAATAGAACTGCACGAGCAGTAAGATAGAGAGCAGCAAGGGTATGGAGAACTGAAAGCTCCATCAAACAGAGCTGAAGAGGAAAAAAGAGCTCGACTGAGGTGAGCATTGAAAAAGACTTCTCTAACTTGATAAAAAGCCAAACTACTCAAGCTGCTTCTGTCAGAAGGAGATGAGTGTGTTGTGAAGACTCCAGTTCGGAATGAGCTAATAGAAACCAGTCATCCATGTCGTGATGCAAGCACAACCCCCAAGCATGCATAAGTCAGGCAAATGCTTTAGCCATGAGGCAAAAGACATAAGGAGACAAATAAAACACAAAGGGCAAAGCATGAAACTGGTACACAACTCCATGGTGTACAAACCAAAAATATTGTCTCGACTGATGAGAAATAGGAATGTGGAGATAAGTATTTGAGACATCTACCTTGGTCACCCAGTCGCGGAAAAAAAATCCACCTTAGTGTGAGAAAAGACTCCAGTGTAAAATAGGGAAGTTCCAAAAAGTGACTGAGGCAAAATAGATCGATCATGAAGCTTCTTGGGTACCACAAACAGCCTGGAATAAAAACCTGGAAAAGGACAAGGTACAGGTTTGAGGGCTTTCTGGGAGATTAGATTCTGTACTGCCTTGGACATACATTGACTGGTAGTAGGATCCTGAGGCAATGGCAAAATATGGGTACAGGAGACAACAGAGGGTTAGGAAGGGGATTGGATGACAAGTCTCTCAGATAATACCCAAATAACCCAAAGATCTGTGGCACAATAGTGCCATAGGGGAATAAAATCAGTCAAATGAGCCCCACTGGACCAGAACCAACAGGGTGATCATCAATACTGCTGACAACAATGAAGCCTGCGTCAAGGAACTCGATGAACGGTGGAACAGGTAAAGGAGTGGAGGGTGCAGGACATGGAACAATAACAGGGGACTGCAAGGGCTCAGGATGAGACAAATGAGCAACCAAAGAAGAAATGGTCGCTTGTTCCCTTACAGATTCCAAAGTCTCAGAAATATCCCCAGAAAAGGAGCTATCTGCAAGTCCCAAAAATAAGTGGACAGTAAATAAACCTAGGACAAGACAGCTTCCCTTCCTAGAAGATCCCAACAGCAAAGAAACTACGTGTAAAGGGAGAGAGCCGAAGAAGATAATCCTCCCAATGTGGAGATAAGAAGGGAGAAAGTATCCCCCAAAAATCCCTCAGAAGATCGATGGAGTACCTCAGAAAGGAAGTGCATAGTGGATAAGTACCGTAAAAGAACCACAGGGGTAAGACAAAGACAGGAAAACTGGACTTGGGATAAATGGATAGGATTGTCAGAGTCAGCCCTCATACAGGCAAAAGTGATTCTATCTGCTGAGAATCAAGGAAAGGGTAATTTACTTGATTGTAAGCACAAGGCAAAATGATCCAAGGCCCATGGAGGTCTAGGCATGCTAGCTCCCCCTTGCAACTGTTAGACAAAATGCTCAGCATGAACCTTGATGTCAGGAAAAGGAGGGGAAAACAAAATACTGTGAGGAGAGGATGTCATGTAATAAGGAATGAACAGGATTATAAGAAATCTGGAAAATGGATAAAATGGAACACAACTAAGAAATGTCTAAAAACGCTGAGTTAGACCTAGAGCAGGTTCTGCAGGACAGGCTTGGCATAATTAGGTGGAGGAAAAAGGCTGTCAAACTCTTTGTCATCACAAGCATGTTTGGCAGGTTCAGGAGGAAGTCTAGCAATATCAGGAGAAGATCAACTCCTATAACAATCAATCTCCCAATGATTTAAAGCCGATAATTCCTCAGTAGTTCCCCCAACCTGAAGCCTGCATAATTGTGCTGGAAGTAGGTAGTAGAACCATCATAGTGGTACCATGAACTTCAGAATTCATCATGTAATGATGAATAATTAAAAGAAAAATAAGAACAAAGGTAAGCTATCACTTAAAACTACAAAATAAACTGTAGTAAAAGAAATAAATGATATTTCCACTTCGTATGAAATATTAAATAAAAAAAGTGTGAAGAGAGCACCATCAAAAAACGTCTTGACCAGAGCACTGCTTAACGAGAAGTAATAGTTCAACAGAACTGAATAGAAGGAGTCATGTGCATCTGGAGGGTGTGTTTCACTCCTATTGACGATTTACATGCGACATGCAGTTGAACCACGATGATTGTGGGGTATGTGGTAGGGTAAGGCATGTGAAAAAATTTTACATATAGAGGGCAGCACTGAACGAGAATAGCTATTTATGCGAATAGAGGTAATTTTGGAATGGGTGACACTTACATTTGTAATAAAAAGTCTTGTATTAATGGAAACAATTTTGAAGATTCTGTTGAAAAACTGATCCCCACCCAAACTTTCATCCGACCATGTCTATCACTGTCTCATTTAAGCTCTATTAAAGTGATTTCATGCATAATGTAAATATAAAACAACTGGGTAAAAAGTACAAACTATTAAGATGGACAGTGAAAGATTTCAAGCCTACCTCTGTGCAGATCTTTTTTCGATTGTCTGCCATTGAACTTTAAGTTTGTGCATTTTGAAGCATTTGGCTTCAACAGATATTTTGAAATTGGTTGGTTTCACAGAAATAAGTCAGTTAAAAGAAGCCTCACACAGTAGTTTTGGCTTAGCACAAATATCAAAGCAGATGACAATTTCAGATAAATCCTACTAGTACTAGTATTTTATTTCCAACCCCAGCACCCCCATTGAACATTTTTTCTCCCCCGATTTTGATAATAGAAACAGCAGAGCCCTACCAAACAGAACACATTTTTCCTCAATGCTTATCATTAAGTATGGTAGTACTTAATAGTGGGGGGGGGGGG